ATTGAAATTGTGTCTAAATATTTTTCTATGCCAACAGGTCGAAGTCGAATATCAGATAGTGGTGGAACTACTTCAACCTCTCACTATTTCGGAATGGAAATAGGGATATGTGACTACGAATTCCATTGTGGGGCTACCTTGAGCACCAAAGCTATAAGTCCCCTTTGGGTTATTGTACGTAGAATTACTAAGTTTGCTCATTTCCTCCCTGTAAAATTTTCGTATGATTTTTTGTAGAATAGCCAATGTTTACGTCAATAAGATTGCTTGTTTGCATGGGGTCCCAGTATCTATTGTTTTAGACAAGAATCCTAAAATGCGTTTGAATTTTGACAAGCCTTCAAGAGGCGATGGGAACTGAATTGTGAGTCAGCGCTATTTTCCATCCGCTAATTGATGTATAATCAGAAAGAACTTTTTAGATTTTGGGAGGAATGCTCTAAATATATGCATTAGATTTTTCAGGGAAGTTGGAAAGATCTATCCATCACTGGCAGACTTTGCTTACGACAATAACTTACACTCTAATTCAGTACGACACCATACAAGCCTTGTATAGGGGAAAAGGTAAGTCTCTGACTGATTGAGAACAGAGTGTTGCTTGATTTTGAGACTAAGTAAATGGCTATCAAAAAGAATTGGAACCGTTGAATGAAAAGTGTCCCAATTGTGTTCGACTAAACGTGAAATAAGTTTGGAGGACCAAACTTCCTAAAAGGGGGAAGACTGTGATAACCCTGTTCCGTATTGTACTAATTGATCCTCCTTATGCATGTGATTATGTGTTTGATATGATTTTGAGTGTCATTTATATGAATATATGTGGTTTTGAATTTATATCTGTTCACCGTACGAATATCTATTTGATTATCTGCTTTGGAGTTTAAATTGAAGGCCTTATCGGCCACAGAACTCGAAATTGATTACGCCATTGTGATTGGCATAATTTTTAGAGCCTACGGTGAAATTTAATTGAAAATTGATTCAGGTCAGATTAAATTGATTAAATTAAGGAGTTAGTGCTCAAAGTATTTAATCTTAAAATAATGTGACTAAGAAAACTTCTTATTAAGGCCATTACACACTTAATTCTTCTTTTTGTATTCATTTGGACGAAAATCAACTCTCTAGAGAGAGAGAGAGACCCGAAATTAGAGGGAAAAATGGGAGATAATTTAAGTTTGGTCTTGAAGCTTGATAATTTTGAAGCTACACTCAAGAATTTGCTATTGATTGGAAAAATTGAGCCTCTAGGGTCAAGCTCCAGGGCAAATTAACCAACCGATCACTGTGAGTAGTATCTTAATAAAGATATCTGAAGTATGTTATTTGTCCAATTGTTTACTTTCATAAAAGTCCTGTAAGTTTGTCACATTGAATTGGGGACAAATATTTGCTATGCCATGTGATTGAGCCAAAGGCCGTTGGATATTTGCTATGCCATGTGATTGGACCAAAGGCCATCGGACATGAATGATAGTCTGATATGAATGATAGCCTGATATAAATGATAGTCTGACATGAATGATAGTCTGACACGAATGATAGTCTAATAAGAATGATAGTCTGACATGAATGAAAAGAGATCATGATCACGAATATGAATTGTGCATAGATTCGGATAAATGGTCCAGAGGCCAGTTTGAATGAAAAGAGATCATGATCACAAATATGAATTGTGCATAGATCCGGATAAATGGGCCAAGGGCCAGTTTGAATGAAAAGAGATCATGATCATGAATATGAAATACGCATAGATATGAACGAAAGTATGAATGGGCCAAAAGCAGTCTGACATGAACAAAAGAATGAATGGGCCAGAGGCCAGTTTGACATGAATGATAGAATGAATGGGCCAAAGGCTAGTTTGACATGAACGAGAGAATGAATGGGCCAGAGGCCAGTCTGACCCGAAAGATAGAATGAATGGGCCAGAGGCCAGTTTGGCATGAATGATATGAATGAATGGGCCGGAGGCCGTATGACACGAATGAATTGGGCCCGAGGCCGTATGATGTGTTTGGAACCGTAGTCACTTGACCTATGTACATATATATGTACTAGATAGAAATATGAATTGGGCCCAAGGCCGTCTGATGTATATTGTTCCAATGTATCTTCTTTATTTGATATTATTCACTGGGCTTTCGCTCACGCTCATTCGTGTGTTTGTAGGTGAGCCAAGAGAGGTCCAACCCCAGTCTCAGTGAAGTCTGTGTGGAACAACCAAGGTTTTGGAGAGTCAACCCTTACGTCTCATGCACGAGACACATCGTCACCCTTTTGCCATCTTATGCTATTTTGTCATGTTGGTGAGGACTTTGGTTTTTGTTCATATATAGTATTTTGATTGGCTGACCTAGACTTGAATGATCCTGTCTGTACAGAACTTTATGTTACTGTAATATCTGAAGTGAGTTATTAACATGCATATGTATGGTTTGTTTTGAGGTGCCACGTAAGCACAGCTCTATGGACAAAGTTTTAAATTTGCTTCTGTTTGGCCCCTTTACTCTGATGAGTTTTATTTTATTTGGTTTGAGGTCGTAGGTAATCTCATGATTACTGGCCGGTTATGGCCTTAACCCATAGGGGCGTGTTCGGGTCGTGACACGGTGTGCAATAAGCTGGGTAAATACAGCATCCGTCAGGCTTCTGAGACCAGCGTATGTCAGCCATGTATACATTGTCGCACTAAACGTCTTGACCCCCAGTGCTATCTGGAGATTGTAGTTGAAGAAGCATTCTATCTTGAAGGTCCCCTGGTTCCCTAGCATGGACATGTCTACGGCTCTGAGCCACATCGGGTTCTTCAAGGTGTCGTAAAAGTCCCCTGACAACGTCCTCTCTCTCCAATAGATGTGGTTCAATATATCCGTTTGTGTGGAATATCAACCATCCGCATTGGAAGGGGAATACCTTTCTGCGTTGGGCCTTCTTCTTCTCATTGCGATGCCTCTTCTTGATCGACTCTGGCGAATAGGGGCTGGTTGATTGTGTAGAACTCTGCGCTTCTGATAGTCCACGCTTTGATCCCGGCATGTTCATTTTTGTCTAAATATTCTTTGTAACTGGAATCGGCTCCTGGGTTACATAATATAATGGCTGGAATCTCGCCCTTTATTTTCTTTAGGCGGGCATATTTACAATTCGAAATGAAATCCCGTTGCGCTCCAATAAATTCCCGCTAGTGTTTTAAATATTGTGGGGCCACATCATCGATTATATTATATAAAGCATCGTCATTGTGGTCCCGCAAATCGATGTGGCTGGAATAATAATTATGTGGCCCCAATGAACGGGCCCTGCATGTTTTCCCAATCCTAGATGGGCCTTCAATTAGAATGCTTTTGGGCCTGTGTGGTCTTTGGGCCCCATCCTTAATATTCTCTGCAACCCATTACTGTATATCTGCTGGGATGACCCATACCGTTTCTACAAATTGATGAACGTACGACAATGGTGGAATAAATGAAATCTTGTCATAATTAGAGGACAATTTGTCATAATTTATCCAATAGCATTTTGGGTCGGCATTTCTCACCATTGCTAGCGCTTGCTCCTTGTTGTCTCCTGCAAGCGCCTCACGGTATATATTTTCTTTGTTATGTTGGTTAGCGTAGCGGCCCCGTTCACGGAATTCACCCCATTCAGTGTAGTCACCGTGTTTAGAGATGTATTCCAAAACATTTTCATGATTTGTTGTCCCTTGCATATTTGGATAGAAATGCCGATTACTGTTGTCATGGGTAACGTTGAAGAACCGTTCATCTTGTGTCTGGAAACGGTATGGGAATTAGACGAGAGCATGTAGATGTGGTTCACCATTGGCGTGTAATTCAAGTACAACTCTGATATAATTTGGTTGCCTGTTGGTGAACAGCGCTTTAAGTTTCTGCAGGAGTCCCTCTTTTGGTAAAGAACATATGGGATATGTCAGAAAGATGTTCTTATTTTGTAATCTAAAACGACGTCGCATTGAGGCCATAGCTCACTCTCAATGACATCACTTACTTCCTCTGATGACGCAAGTCACTCTCCAAAAACTTTACTGATGTCAGAGAGTTAGGGAGTGAGTTATATATGGTTCCCGGAGCGTCCCACTAATATTACTTGGGACGCTCCCCCCCGCGCCACGTGTCATCCCCGGATTGGTGCTCCCTTCCGCATTTGGTACCGTGTTGTCGGTTACAGGGCTCCGCTCCGCTCATAGATCTGCGGTCCGAATTAAAAGATTGAACAGGGAAAGTGCAGTATAAATACTATTGTTAAAGGCAAAATAATGTGCAGATTTGTCTTATTTTGCAATGGATCCCGGAGATTCTGGACAATTTCGGCTGTTGGTTTTAAAATACGAGCCGGATGTTCTATTGTTGCACCGGTCCTTGATGGTCCTTGATGTGCATTATCCGCTGAATGTTCTGGTTGCGGCATTAGACATAGACGAAAGCTATCTTAAAATAATTACATCTCATCAGAATTGTATAGCGTTCTCCAATTCTGACAAAATAAATTTGATGTATTTCATGCGTATGTACGTGTCTATGTTCACTGGCCATATATTGTATATATAGGCCGAGTTGTTTTAATGCGCATCATTTGATGGGCCTCGTCGCTACTGAAATTGGGCCCTGTTACTGTAATAATTCACATGCGCTATTTAGCAATTCCAGCCCAGCCCAATATTTATTCCAGCCCATTATTTGTTAAAGCCCATTATTTATTACAATCCACAATTTATTACAGCCCATAATTTATTAAATCTGGTGAGACACGGAATTTATTGGGACAGTATAAATTCAAAAAGAAATGCAATATTATTTAATCATAAAAATTTATGTAAACATTTCCCCATCGCCAATCTTTTACAAAATATCAAATATCGTCGAGTACAATGGTCAGTGTGAGATAATAATTAACGGTACTAATAATTCCAAAGCTGGCTAATTTGGTCGTCATCCTGCGTGCAATAAGCTGGGTAAATACATCATCCGTCAGGCTTCTGAGACAAACGTATGTCAGCCATGTATACATTGTCGCATTGAACGTCCTGACCCCCAGTGCTCTCCGAAGATTGTAATTGAAGAGGCATTCTATCTTGAAGATCTCCTGGTTCCCTGGCATGGACATGTCTACGGCTCTAAACCACATCGGGTTGTTCAAAGTGTTGTAAAAGACCCTTGACAGCGTCCTCTCTCCAATGGATGTGGTTCGATACATCCGTTTGTGTGGAATATCGAGCATCCGCATTGGAAATGGAATACCTTCCTGCGTTGGGCCTTATTCTTCTCATTGCGATGCCTCTTCTTGATAGGCTCTGGCGAACAGGGACTGATTGATTGTGTGGAACTTTGCGTTTTTGATAGTCCACGCTTTGATTCCGGTGTGTTCATTTTTGTCTAAATATTCTTTGTAACTAGAATCGGCTCCTGGGTTACATAATATAATGGTTAGAATCCCGCCCTTTATTTTCTTTGGACGGGCATATTTACAATTCGAAATGAAATCCTGTTGCGCTCCAATAAATTCCTGCCAATGTTTTAAATATTGTGGGGCCACATCATCAATTACATTATATAAAGCATTGTCATTGTGGTCCCGTAAATCGACGTGGCCGGAATAATAATTATGTGGCCCCAATGAATGGGCCCAACATGTTTTCCCAATCCTAGATGGGCCTTAAATTATAATGCTTTTGGGCCTGTGTGGTCTTTGGGCCTCGTCCTTGATATTTTTCTGCAACCCATTGCTGTATATCTGCTGGGATAACCTATACCGTTTCTGCAAATTGATGAACGTACGACAATGGTAGAATAAATGAAATCCTGTCATAATTAGAGGACAATTTGTCGTAATTTAACCAATAGCATTTTGGGTCGGCGTTTCTTACCATTTCCAGCACTTGCTCCTTATTGTCTGCTGCAAGCGCCTCACGGTATATATTTTCTTTGTTCTGTTAGTTAACGCAGCGACCCCGTTCACGGAATTCACCCCATTTAGTGTAGTCACAGTTTTTGGAGATGTATTCCAAAACATTTTCATGATTAGTTGCCCCTTGCATATTTGGATAGAAATGACGATTACTGTTGTCATGGGTAACGTCGAAGAACCGTTCATTTCTGCAAATTGATGAACGTACGACAATGGTGGAATAAATGAAATCCTGTCATAATTAGAGGACAATTTGTCGTAATTTAACCAATAGCATTTTGGGTCGGCGTTTCTTACCATTTCCAACGCTTGCTCCTTATTGTCTGCTGCAAGCGCCTCACGGTATATATTTTCTTTGTTCTGTTGGTTAGCGCAGGGACCCCGTTCACGGAATTCACCCCATTTAGTGTAGTCACAGTTTTTGGAGATGTATTCCAAAACATTTTCATGATTAGTTGCCCCTTGCATATTTGGATAGAAATGACGATTACTGTTGTCATGGGTAACGTCGAAGAACCGTTCATTTTGCGTCTGAAAACGGTATGGGAATTGGACGAGAGCATGTAGATGTGGTTCACCATTGGCGTGTAATTCATGTGCAACTCTGATATAATTTGGTTGCTTGCTGGTGAACAGCACTCTAAGTTTTTTCAGGAGCCCCTCTTTATGTAAAGAACATCTGGGATATGTCAGAAAGATGTTCTTATTTTGTAATCTAAAACGACGTCGCATTGAGTCCATAACTCACTCTCAATGACGTCACTTACTCCCTTTGATGACGCAAGTCATTCTCTAAAAACTTTACGGATGTTAGAGAGTTTGGAAGTGAGTTATATATGGTTCCCGGAGCGTCCCACTAATATTACCTGGGACGCTCCCCCCGCACTACGTCTCGTCCCCGGATTGGTGCTCCCTTCCGCATTTGGTGCCCTGTTGTCGGCAACAGGGCTTCACTCTGCTTCCGGATTAAAAGATTGAACAAGGAAAGTATAGCATAAATACTATTGTTAAAGCCAAAATAATGTGCAGATTTGTCTTATTTTGCAATGGATCTCGAAGATCTTGGACAATTTCGGCGGTTGGTTTTAAAATACGAGCCGGATGTTCTATTGTTGCACTGGTCCTTGATGGTCGTCGCCGTAATACAACAAAATGATCTATTTCTGTGCCCCTGACCATACAACTAGTTCGTGGTCACCACTGGACCACTGGAAAACATCTTCAAACTTAGGCCTGTAGGTAGGATTAGGAAAGCGGTCTAACACAACGACAAATTCACATTGTCCGTTGTCAAATATACCGGATGCATCGAAGTCCACAGTTTGAGTAAGAGCATCACGCATGTCACTTTCTAGCCCAGGCGTATCGGCGGCAACGTCAGAGAGACCACCAGTTTGGCATAAAACTACACCCTGTATGTACAGTCCAAGCAGCTTCAATTTCGCCCAAGTCATTCATCTTTTTCAGTACCAACATCGGGCAAGTCAAAATGGAAAAAATGAGGCTCATCAAACGGGCAAAAATCGTCAATCCTCTAGATGGAATCTCAAAACAATTTGGACGTGAATCATTTTTTTTTGTAATAACTCCATTTTCGCTTAAAATAACTTCATCCGGAAACACTAGATCTACTGGATGCTGTCCAGCGATGACTAAAATTTAATTTTGTTCTGGGAGTATATGGTCGCCGTTGCGAAAAACGAATACTAGTAGCCATAATTGATGGTGAAATTCAGGCAATTAAATGAATCACATCGATTTTATTTTATAGGCGTAAAGTGTTGACAGTGACGTGGGTCAAAGTTAACAGTGTTTAATTTGGAAGAACAATTAAAATACATGACGCTACAAGCGTGTACATATACTAAGTATGGCACAGAAAACATTTATGGCCATACTAACAGATGGCACATGATGCAACAAGGAAACAAAGAGTGGGCCACACGTCTGGACCCATCGTTTGGATTCAAATTTCCCGCTAGCACTTGTCATGTTCAATCTTTTAATTCGGACTGCAGATCTGGGAGCGGAGCGGAGCCATGTAGCCGACAACATGGCACCAAATGCAGAAGGGAGCACCAATCCGAGGACGACACGTGGCGTAGGGGGGGAAGCGTCCCAGGTAATATTAGTGGGACGCTCCGGGAACCATATATAACTCACTCCCTAACTCTATAACATCAGTAAAGTTTTTGGAGAGTGACTTGCGTCATCAGAGGGAGTAAGTGACGTCATTGAGAGTGAGTTATGGCCTCAATGCGACGTCGTTTTATATATAATTATTCTCCCAACTCTATGCACTTAACCTTTATATAAGAATACGAATTTTGCATTCCGAATTCATAAACGAATTGTGTGTTTGACAATCGGAGAGACCGCTGCGCTAACACCATTCTAAAATCATAATGTCAAGGGAGATCAACCCAGTCGGACTTACGGATGCTCTTCATGAGAATGAAGAAGGTGAACTGGAAACCGACATAATAGACGCGACATCGAACATACCGGTGTCGAACATATCCATAACCAATCCAAAAATAGGCGACGCAATGTGGCAGAAGCTAACATTCAAGTCAACGATAATTGACAAATGCAAACTAAGTTACAGACCAAAGTGTCCATTTAATTCAACCGGCTGTGTGGAAGTTGAAATACGGGACACACGACTATGAGCAGATGATCAATTACAGGCCTGTTTTACCTTCCCAGTTACATGTCCAGTGGACATCACATATTTTGGAAACGCGTATGCTGTCGCAGACAAGAAAGGATGCCCATGGACAGCGTCGTACAAATTGCTGAAAACCAATATCAACGACGATGTGAGATATTGCAAAATGAAAGCCACATTGGCGTTTCAAACTTCGTCGTTCCCAGAAAAAATTGCTTACAGACCGCCATTAATAACTGTTTTGTCCAAAATATTCACAAGCACGCACGTAGATATTTGGCACGTGCAAAGCAGCGTCGTTGAAGCAAGGCTAACATGTTATCAGTCCGAATCACGCTTTAGGTCCACAATGACATTATCCACACCAATGGGCCAATACGGCTCTTCGGCCCAAAGGTTATTGTCCACAAGGCCTTCCGTAAGTTCAATTCAGACTAGGCCGGAATTATTCAACAGACGCGACCAAAATATGCAGACATGCGACCTAATAGATCAGCCTAGCGGCCCATTAGACATAGGCCCATCAATAAGCGGAGCAGGATCCAATAACTACGAATCATCAAGACTCACTACGGATGAGGTGTCCAAATTAGTAGCAGAAGCTATATAGACCGCAGTGGAAGGTTCCACATTAGCCCAAAAAACAAATGTACAACGGAGGCCGATGTAAAATAAATTGTAATCAATTATTTTATTAAATAACAATAGTGCCATCTGCAATTATTTTATCAATAACAGTATTTCAATCTGTAATTCAAATGCATCATTACAAACGATTTTGTGTGACATTTACACACAAAATAACAAATAATTACTCAGCCCAAAAAACAAATGTACAACGGAGGCCGATGTAAAATAAATTGTAATCAATTATTTTATTAAATAACAATAGTGCCATCTGCAATTATTTTATTAATAACAGTATTTCAATCTGCAATTCAAATGCGTCATTACAAACGATTTTGTGCGACATTTCCACACAAAATAACAAATAATTACGTTTTTTACAATATTATTATATTCGCCGGTCAGCATACCACCACTATCTTGGAATTCGGATAAAATATTCTTTCCGATGTTGATAAATGTTTTAATGCCTTGACAGCTAACGACTGCATATTCATTAGATTGCGATGGTATTAAAACAGGGACACGCCGCAATACAACAAAACGATCTATTTTTGTGCCCCTGACCATACAACCAGTTCGTGGGTCACCACTGGACCACTGGAAAACATCACCAATAAAATAGATCGATTGTGTATCCGAATCATCAAGAGGGTCTGAATAAGTGTCCGAGTGTTCGAACCGTAATGCATGAGAAATAGCAAGCAAACACCACAATTAAATATCTGCCATCAAGCAAGAGGGTACGAATAAGTGTTCGAGTGTTTGAAGCCTAATGGATTAGAAATGGTAAGTAAACACCATAATTAAATATCTTCCATCATTTAAGAGGGTCCGAATAAGTGTCTGAGTGCTCAAACCGTAATGCATGAGAAATAGTAAGTAAAAACACGATCATTACATATCTGCCATAATGCAAGAGGGTCCGAATAAGTGTCCGAGTGTTCGAACCAAAATGCATGAGAAATCGTAAGTAAACACCACAATTACATATCTGCCATCATGCTAGAGGGTCCGCATAAGTGTCCGAGTGTTAGAACCGTAATGCATGAGAAATGGTAAGTAAACACCACAATTATATATCTGTCATCATACAAGAGGGTCCGAATAAGTGTCCGAGTGTTTGAAGCCTAATGTATGAGAAATGGTACGTATACACCATAATTACATATCTGCCATCATGCAAAACGGTCCGATTAAGTGTCCGAGTGTTCGAACCCTAATGCATGGGAAATGGTAAGTAAACACAATAATTACATATCTGCCATCATGTAAGAAGGTTCGAATAAGTGTCCGAGTGCTCGAACCCTAATATATGGGAAATGGTAAGTAAACACGATAATTACATATCTGCCATCATGAAAAAGGGTCCGAATATGTGTCCGAGTGTTCGAACCATAATGCATGAGAAATGGTACGTAAACAGCATAATTACATATTTGCTATCATGCAAGAGGGTCCGAATAAGTGTCTGAGTGTTCGAAGCCTAATAGATGAGAAATGGTAAGTAAACACGATAATTACATATCTGCCATCATGCAAGAGGGTCCGAGTAAGTGTCCGAGTGTTCGAATTATATTGCGAGAGAAATGGTAAGCAAACACCATAATTACATATCCGCCATCATGCAAGAGGGTCCGAATAAATATCCGAGTGTTCGAACCATAATGCACAAGAAATGGTAAGTAAACATCGTAATTACATATCTGCCATCTTGCAAGAGGGTCTGAATAAGTGTCTGAGTGCTCGAACCCAAATGCATGAGAAATGGCAAATAAACACGACAATTAAATATTTGCCATCTTGCAAGAGGGTCCGAATAAGTGTTCGAGTGTTCGAACCAAAATACATGAGAAATGGTAAGTAACACGATAATTACATATCTGCCATCACACAAGAGGGTCCGAATAAGTGTCCGAGTGTTCGAACTATAATGTATGAGAAATGATAAGTAAACACGACAATTACATATCTGCCATCATGCAAGAGGGTCCGAATAAGTGACCGACTGTTCGAACCAAAATACATTAGAAATGGTAAGTAAACACCACAATTAAATATCTGCCATCATGCAAGAGGGTCCGAATAATTTTCCAAATGTTCGAAGCCTAAAGGATGAGAAATGATAAGTAAACAGCATTATTACATATCTGCCATCATGCAACAGGGTCCGAGTGTTCGAACCATAATGCATGAGAAATGGTAAGTAAACACCATAATTACATATCTGCCATCATGCAATAGGTTCCGAATAAGTGTCCGAGTGTTCGTACCATAATGCACGAGAAATGGTAAGTAAACACCATAATTACATATCTACCATCATGCAACAGGTTCCAAATAAGTGTCCTAGTGTTCGAACCATAATGCATGAGAAATGGTAAGTAACACGAAAGTTACATATCTGCCATCATCCAAGGGGGTCCGACTAAGTGTCCGAGTGTTCAAAGCCTAATGTATGAGGAATCGCAAGTAAACACGATAATTACATATCAGCCATCATGCAAGAGGGTCCAAACAAGTGTCCGAGGGTACAAACCATAATGGATGAGAAATGGTAAGTAAACAACATAATTACATATCTGCAATCATGCAAGACGGTCCAAATAAGTGTCCGAGTGCTCGAACCCGAATGCATGAGAAATGGCAAGTAAACACGATACTTGCATATCTGCCATCTTGCAAGAGGGTTCGAATAAATGTCCGTGTGTTCGAACCATAATGTATGGGAAATGGTAAGTAACACCATAATTACATATCTGCCATCATGCAAGAGGGTCTGAATAAGTGTCTGAGTGTTTGAACCGTAATGCATGAGAAATGGTAAGTAAACATCATAATTACATATCTGTCATCATGCAAGAGGGTCCGAATAAGTGTCCGAGTGTTTGAACCATAACGCAAGAGAAAATGGTAAGTAAATCCCATAATTACATATCTGTCATCATGCAAGAGGGTCCGAATAAGTGTCCGAGCGTTCAAACCCTAATGCATGAGAAATGGTAAACAAACCTGATACTTACATATCTGTCATCATGCAAGAAGGTCTGAATAAGTGCCTGAGTGTTCGAACCAAAATGTATGAGAAATGGTAACTAAACACTATAATTACATATATGCCATCATGCAAGAGGGTCCGAGTAAGTATCCGAGTGT